TGAACTCCTGGCCTAAAGCAATCCTCCCTCCTTGGCCTCCCAAAGTGCTGGGATTGCAGGAGTGAGCCACCATGCCCAACCTCTAATTCCTCATAGGAATTTATGTTAATACATTGGTATAAAACCTTCTATACTTATATGAACGTGTGTGTGTGTGTGTGTGTGTGTGTGTGTGTGTATGTATAGATTGACTGCTACTTTTCTTTAACAAAACAGGATCATACTATATAATTGGTTCTCCAGCTTGCTTCCTCACTTATGTATTGATGACATCTTACCCAGGTGGTATCTAGGATAAATTTCAATCTTTTTTTTTTTTTTGAGACAGAGTATCACTCTGTTGCCCGGGCTGGAGTGCCGTGGCGTCATCCTAGCTCACAGCAACCTCTCACTCCTGGGCTCAAGTGATCCTCCTGCCTCAGCCTCCTGAGTAGCTGAGACTACAGGCACACACCACCGTGCCCAGCTAATTTTTTCTATTTTTAGTTGTTTGGCTAATTTCTTTCTATTTATAATAGAGACGGGGTCTCGCTGTTGCTCAGGCTGGTCTCGAAGTCCTTAGCTCAAGCAATCCTCCCGCCTCGGCCTCCCAGAGTGCTAGGATTACAGGCGTGAGCCACCGCGCCCGGCCTCAGTCTTTTTTTTGAGACAGGGTCTCACTCTGTTGCCCAGGCTAGAGTGCAGTGGTGTCATCACAGCTTGCTGCAACCTCAAACTCCTGGGCTTCCGTGATCCTCCTGCCTTAGCCTCCTGAGTAGCTGGGACTACAAGCGTGTACCACCATGCCCGGCTGATTTTTTCTATTTTTGGTAGAGATGGGGTCTTGCTTTTTTTCAGGCTGGTCTCGAATTCCTGACCTTAAATGATCCTCCCACTTCAATCTTTTTAATATGGGCACACTATTCCACTGTAAGAATGTGAACCACATTTTATCTATCTGTTTCCCTCTCAGTAGAAAGTTAGGTTGTTCACAGTGGCTTGTTTTTTTCCTCTTTTTCTTACCCATCTTTGTACCCCTCTCCCTCTAACAGTACTGGAAAAGACACTGTTTATATGTGGCTATAGTACTTAAAATGTGGTAGCTACTGCCATGATCCCAGAAAATTATACCTACTTATACAACCACAGAAAAGGTATGACTGAGGCCATTTCTTTTCTCCATTGTTAACACCTGTATTACTTGTTTTTTAAATATTCATCACACTCATAGGCAAAAGGAAAAAAGCATCTCATTTTCAATTTGTATCTTTAGTTAGTAGGTAGAGTCTATGTTAGTGGCTATTTTTATTTTTTTTGTGTATGTGACTTATTAGATCATATCCATATCCTTTTGCCTGTATTATTTATAGATTACTTGACTTTTTCTTATTGGTTTGTAGTATCTTCATATAGCATGAGTGTTAACCCTTCATATAGCGTGAGTGTTAACCCAATCAATAATAATTGATTATTTTTAAATTTGTTATGGTGTCTTTTTCCATAGAAATCTTTCTTTCTTCCTCCCTCCCTCCCCTCCCTTCCTGCCTGCCTTCCTTCCTTTCTTCCAAATTACATGTCATTTTTTTTCCTTTATAGATTCAGTTTATCATGCTTAGACCTTTCTTACTGCAGAATTGTTAAGATTTTTCTCATGTGTTCTTTTTCAACACTATTATTTTAAACATTCAGATATTTAGCTTCTCTGCATGTCTTTCTACCCCTACAAGTTTGTTCTTGGTCACTGATTCTTGACTTGGAAATCAAAGGATGTATGTATGTGAGAGGTTGTTCAAGGAATTCTTCATTTTGCACATGAGGAAACCGAAGCCTTAGTGATCTTCCCAGGGTCATACGCAGCCATCCTGTGGCAGCACTGAGACTAGAACCCAGTACTTCCTGTTTTTACTCCTTGCCTATTTCCATTTCTACTTTGGGTAAATGGGTACATGTCTAGTCATTGAGCATTTGGTTGCCTATTATGTACCACCTGAGTGCTAGGCACTGGTAGTGAAAGTTATGGACAAAATGGACACAGTTCCTGACCTTTTGAATGCACAGACTTACGAATAAGGCAGACAGTAAAAAGCAGACAAACAAATGTGTGATTGTTATTCAGGATGAGAGTGGTGAAGGAAGTGAAATCACTGGAATGGTGGCGAATAATGGGGCTTAGAGGCTATGTAGACGGGTGGTCAGAGAATGCCTCCTCAAGAAGTGATAGATATTTAAAGTGATACTTGAAGGATGAAGCCAATAAAGGGTTTAGGGAAAGAGTGTTCCAGACAGAATACGGCCTCTACAGAAGCTCCGAGGTGGGAAAGAGCTTGACAGCTGTGCAGATGTCAGGGGCTGCAGCTGATGGAATTGTGAGAGGACATAAATAGCTTCACCATGGATGTGTCAGCCATCAAGTTGCTGGTTAACTTTCACCTTCAGTGTTTTTGCATACTTTTCAGACAACAACTTTGACACTTCCTTTGTAAAAATCTGTACTGTACCAAAACCACACAGGCAGCTGGAAAAATCCAGTGATAAAGTCTTTATTTTCACATTGTTACATGAAATCCTGTCTTGTAATGAAAACATATCTTTATCTGGGTCAAAACACCTGCAGAGTTTTCTGGAGTGACTCGTTATAGCTAGAAGTATTAGTAAAAACAAATCCCCTTCGGATAGAATGTAGTGCATAGATCTATTTATCCTATCAAAATGAAATAAGAGAAAAAAATCTGTTATCACAGATAAAACAGTAAAAATGGAAAAATGTTTGCAGTGTTTCTTAGCCCATGAATATTTTTCAGGGCAAAATTGTCCTCTTGCTGCTTTTTATGTAACATCTGTGAATATGCCGATTTTCTATTTTTGTGTTATCATTTTGTGCCTATGTCTGCTTCCAAGTTTGATTTTTTTTTTTTGGCCGTCTGAAGACAGGGAACTTATTTTTTATGAAAAAAATTATTCCTATTTTTAAAAAATGGCTTTTCTAGAGTGTCTTGTTAGGCTTCAATAAAATCAATTAGCTTTACCTATGTTCAACGTCCTTTCTTGGATTTTTTGGTATACTTTTTGGCTATTGATAAATAGTCAACATGAGGAAACTCACTGATGGCTGCTGTACTTTCCCTAAATATTCCCCAGAATTTATATTATAGAAAAAAAGGGAAGTCCAAATTCCTCACAGTATTATAGAAAGAAAGGGAAGTCCGAATTCTATACAGTATGTTAGGTTGAGAGATAACTTCAGTTATATAATTCACATTTGATTATTTGGTAGTCCTTGAGTCCAGAAGGCTTGAGGGATGGTAAACCCTCATCATTACCTTGTGCTGTTAATATATATTTTCTGAGACACTTAGGCTTCAGTCAGTAGTGAAACGCCAGTCACTTGGTGTTCCAGGTCCTCAGATGGCAATGTTAAAGAAGATGTTGTCTCTGATTTCAAGGAGCTCAGGCTTCGGGGGCAAATAGTTATGTAAGCAGCATAATGTGACGTGATAAATACTATGGAAGATGTATGGACAGCATATTTGGGGGCACATAGAGAACAGTCAGGTTTGAAGATTGTCTTGAAAGAAGGAAAGAAGGAGGTGACAATTAAACTAGGTTTGGAAAGATGAGTAAGATCGGAGATGAACAATCTCTGTAGAGCAGCAATATGTATGAATGGGAAAGACTGGCTCATCTGCCAGATGGTTGTCGTATGGTTGGGTTATTAGGTGTGTGATAGAGGAGGGGGTGGGAGGCCAAACTGGAAAGCTGTGTTGGGCCGTTTTATGAAGGGCCTTTCACGCACCTTGAGGAGTTTGAACTTGATTCCGTGGGAAATGGAGAATTATCAGGGACTTTAAAGCAGCAGAAGGATGTGCTCTGTTCTTGTTTCTGTTTTAGAAAGTTATCTTCGGATAGTATGAAGGAAGGCATAGAGAGGAAGAGACTGAAGGTGAGAATACCAGTTAGGAGGGTAAGCAAGATAGGGTGAAACCCGAGCTGGGATAGGAGCAGCAGAGGCATAGAGCAAAGACCATACATTTCTGAAATGTTTCTGAGGCAATCCTAAGGCTCTGACTGAGAGGCAGGGTGTTGTAATGAAACTGCGCTGTATGGGAAGGCGGGATGCTGAGGTTCTGGCTTTCGCTCTGCTTATGGTGTCACATTGAGTCCCTTAATCATTCTTACTGGGAAAGGGAGAGCACTTGTCCTCCTGCCTATCTCTTCAGTTCTGGCATTCTAGTAAGGGGAAACTCAAGCGAACAAAACAAAGCAATAAAAATCTTAAACAAACCTGACATAGTTTAGAGTTTCACATCCTCTTTTTCTTTTGTAGCTTATAACCTTTCTCTTTATTGTTGTACTGAAAAATTTAGAACACAAATAAATCCAGGTGTTGGATTATTAGGGTTATTAAGGTGTTGATTGTTAAAATCTCATAATTGTGTGATGTACTAAGAACAGTTCTTGATTCACCTGCCTAATATGTGTGTGTATATCTATGTATCTATATATCTATACATCTCTCTCTCTCTATATATATATATTTTTTTCTTTCCTTTCTAATACTGTGTCAGCATAGTCCCACTTTGTATCTTCTTGGCATCTATATTTGATATATTTAAAAGATTTCAATTTCAGTTTTCATTTTTTGCTTTTAGGGACGGATAAACTCATTGAACTAGAGTTATTTTCTGCCTATTCTCAGTGCTTTTGATCTCTCTCAGTTTCCTAAGTATTTTGAGGTATATTATTCCCGGGCCTTTACCAGACCAGGGCATGTTCAGCATTCATCAGAACACTAGTGTGAGTACACTTTGCTTCTAAAATAAACAGGGAATAGTTCACGATGATTTTTATTTCCCACTCTTACTCGAAGTGGGTTTCTGGAAACTGTTCTTTTCTACTGAATGAAGCATTAGAGATCCTTAGGAGATGGTGTAATATAGTTGAATACTTGCTTTGGTTGCAGTTACTAGAAGTGTTAACTTTATAATATGTTGTTAAAAGTACCTCTTTTCTTTTCATTCCAGTTCCAAAAGATCCAAAACCCCAGTGGAGACGGGTAGCATGGAGTTATGATTGTACCTTGCTGGCCTATGCCGAAAGCACAGGAACTGTGAGGGTGTTTGATCTCGTGGGAAGTGAGCTCTTTGTCATTTCCCCGGTATGTACATACCTTAAACTGATAACATGTATTTTTTTCAATGCCTTCCATATATAGGTGCTTGAATGAATGAATGTGAAGATAGGGTTAATACAGATATAAATCAGAATAATAAGCTGTATACTTAAGATGTTCAGAATATAGTTAGAGGTCTACATATATGCATACTATTCTTTGTATTTTGTAGTGCTCTATCCAGACGTAAACCATCTGGTAGTAAGCAAATATTAATACTAAATAGAGATTCAGAAAGTTGTTATAAAGTTCTAGTGAGGAAAAGAAGTCAATGGGCTGTTGCAATAGAAATACCTTTAAGAGGAGTTAGAACTTGTTACCCAAAAGGGAATAGAAATTGAAAAGGAGACTGGAGGAAAAAATTAATGGTAGTAATAACTTGTATTTGTGTAGTGCTTTATACTTCATTAAAGACTTTGATATATATCCTCATTTTATATTCACAACAAACCTTTGAGTAGGTTAGGCAGATGTTGTCCTCATCTTACAGTCTAGAAAACTGAGATTGAGTGGGAGAAAAATGACTTTTCCCATGGTAGT